TATTTCGAAAGAAAAAAACACTAAAATATTCAAATTGAATAGACATTGAAAGAAAACGACAACGAATCAAAGAATCAAAGAATTTGATAAATGAAAATAAACTTTTTTTCCTTGAATCATTTTTTTCAATTCATTTCAGACTCGTGTTTTGTCTTTTTGTCTTCGTTGGCTATTTTTTTAGTGAATTTGATTTGTTTGTTTGTTTGTTTGCTTTTTTCACTTTGCTTTCTATTCCGGAAAGGTGTTTGAACTTATTTTCTCGCTAATTCAATAACAATCAATCCAATAGAAATATACTGTTTCAAAATGAAATAATGATTTTCAATTATCATTGTTGCATTATTTTCAGTTAGTTTCAATGAAATATAGAATCCTGAACATGAACAAAACAAATAGCAAAATATATTCCAAATCAGAAAAAAAACAGCAGAACAATGGAAACTATATTTGTGAATTTCCTTTTTGATGATGATGATTTCAATTAATTGGATACAATCGTTTTCATTTCTTTCTTTTTTTCTCTCTCTCTTTCTTTCGTTTATTACACAGGAGAATCGACTGACGATATTCATTATTGGCATAAGTGAAAAGAAAAAAAAACATCGACATCGATTAAATTCATGAATGGACGGGCCAGTTCAGAACACTCATACACACACACACACAGTGAAAAAAAGATTGATTTCCAAATTTGATTCGTTTTATATGTTTGAGATATCAAGAAACCAAGAAACAAGAAAAATCGTTTTCGGTTGTCCAGTTGTATCTTTTTATAAATCATTGTCATAATTTCCCTGATAAAATAACAAATTGATGAATGACACACGTTTTTTTTCGTTGATCATCGAATCAAATCAAACAAACATTGTAGATTTCCATTAATAAATAAAATAACCAACATATTTTTCATATAAGGAATGATTTGATCATCATCATGATTTTATCATGAACCATAATTTTCAATCGATTTTTGTAATTTATCTTCAAATATTCATTCCATTTACCAAAAAAAAAAATCTTAACAAAAATCAATAATTATTCTAACAAAATAAGAAAAATCATTGATTTTCATTCTTAACATTCACTTTTTCATTCTGTTTCCAATTTTTTTTTTCATTTGAAATATCGATTGATCGATCGATTCGATCAATCGATCGATTAAAATGATAATAGCAAATGATTATTATAACATTTAATTAATATAATTTACTATCAATCTATTTATGATTATTAAAAATTTATCAAAGTTTTTTTTACAAAGATTATTATTATCGATGATCAAATCACAATAATCAAACATTTGTAACATTTGAAAAAAAATCACTATTGTTGTTGTTGTTGTCGATACCATATTTAGACCGGAATTTTTTCTCTTTCTCTTCAATATCATATTAAAGACAAAAAATCCACGGTAACAAAATGAAGAAATTCCTAAAATAAACTTGGATAAAAACAAATTTTTTTTGATTTATTTGTTCACTCTCTTGGTGCAAAACAATTAACCCTACTATCGTTTGTTGTTTTCCGCTTTCTTTTGACAAAGAAAATGATTTGAAATAAATCGATGATGATGATACACTTCCAAAATCGATCAGGAAAATCAATTGATGGATTCCAATCGAAAGAGAGAGAAAAATACTTATTGATTTTAGAATGTTGTTGTTGTCGTTGTCTTCGCAATCATATCACAACCATCATTATCATCAACAAAAAAATCATCATCATCATCAGATTCTTTGATTTGTAATTCTTACTCCACTCGATTTTTTACATTAAGTAAAACAAAATATCAAATGTAATTTCAACAACAGAAATTTGCAACCAAAAAAAAATATCGAAAAATTCTTGTAATTTTCATTATTATTTTCTATAGAATTTCAAATCAAAAATCACATGTGTGTATGACACCAGCCATACACACACACATACAATTAAAAACATTTGAGAAAATTTAAATTTTTGTTTTTCATTTTAAATTTGTTTTTATTTTTCCTTTTTGTCTGGCGTTGAACATTTCAACATTAGTATCGTTTCAATTTGGAAACATTCAAATGGAAAGAATAATAAAAAACCATTTGGATCGATCCACCAAACAGAATAATAGTAACAACATCGTAGAATAAATTGGAGCACATGCGTCCCAAATTGTCAATGTAAATGTGTGTGTGATGTGTGCTGTTTCTGCTGATATACATCACATACACACACACGCGAACGAATTTCTGGCCATAGAATTCCTTAGCTTAAAGACGAGAAAAACTTTGGTCTTCATTTGCGGAGTATAAAAATGACGATCGCCACATCATTTCATTTCAGTGTACAAAATTTCAATTGCATTCGTTACATTGGTTACCAATTGAATTTGTTTGCTGATTGCAATATTTAATGAAAATTTATGAAATTTTTTTTTTATCACAATTCAAAATCTATATATATCGTTCAATCATTTCATCAAATAAAAAAAAATTCTTCTTTTTTTATTGAATTTTGGCAAGTTTGTTGTCTGGTGTAATAGAATCGATTCTTTTTTTCCCCTCCACAAAAAAAATTCATTCATCCATTCATTCATTCATTCAAACAATCAATTTAATTTGATTTGTAATCAATCAACAAAAACCAGAGTTCAACTTGAAGAAAAAACCGAAAGAAAGAAAGAAAATTCTTCACACTATTTTAATCAACAATCATTGTGATGATTCATTCATTGGAAACATATTTATATAACTGTTGTTGTATTAAATGAAATTTTTCTTCTTTCCACTCTTGTTATGTTCACGTCAAATTATTCCACACATATCATTCTTATTTAATGATTAAAATTGAAAGAATAAAATTTCATTCATTGTATAAATTGGAATAATTTTCATTTTTTTAACGATGCGAAAATAAGAAAATAAAAACCCACAAATTGTGTGTGTGTGTGTGTGTGTGTGTGTATGAAAGAAAAGACATTATTTCTTGATAATCATTTACAGTGAAAATTTTTCCGGAAAAGAATAATAAAATTTTCCTTGTTACCAAACAGGGTCTGCCAGAGGCCAATACGAAGAAAAAAAAACGTTGAAAATAATCATTTTCCATTGTGTTTGTCAATTTGTCTGTTTTCTTTGATTTCTTTTTTTCTTCTGAAAATTTTATGGTGTGAATGTGTTTATGTTTGTTTGTTTGTGGTGATTATTTTTTTTCACTGGTATTTCATCAAATAATCATTTAATGATCTTGGATGGCCAAAAAATTCATTCATTTCATTTTTTCATTCTATTTCCTACGGTGTTGGTGGTGGCAAAATAGTGTTGGTGATATTTTAGTGTTTTTTTATTCCTGTTTTCACTTCAATTAATGAACAAAGATTCTTTTTAAGAATTTTTTCAAACATAACCCAACGCGAATATATAAACAACATTCATTCTGTTATTCTCTTTGTTCGATTTGATCCAGATTCCTTTAAATTTTTAAATTCCATCCAAGTCGACAATGTCATAATTTATGTTTTGTTTTGATTGGTTTTTGAAAATTTGGTTTTTAATGTGTTTCGAGTGTGTGTGTGTGTGTTTTCACATTAACATTTTCCTTACTTTTGCTCAATGTTTGCCAATATATAATTGTTGTACATTTGAAATCGATCAATGCTTGTGTGCAAATCAAATCAAATGAAAGCGAATTTTTTTTTGTATCGAAAAAAATTCTTGCACAACAACCAGACTGAATCCACCCACACGCTCAATGTAATGCCATACTAATTATTATTCTCAAATGTTATTTATGGAAAATCAAAAAAGAACAAAATTCCAAACATCATTATTATTGAACTACTAACATTTTATGATTTCATGTTTCTCTTTTTCTTGTTTCTTGTTTTTTGTTTTTTTGCTTCATAATATTTATTGCAACCGATTTGATTGAAACCGGAACATGGACGATAAATTTTTCATTTTAATTTCAACAAAAGAAAATGAGAAACATATTTTATTTCAAAAAAAAAACGAACATAAATTTCAATAATTATTGATTGTTTTGTTATCAATCGCATTTTATATTCGTGTGTTTGTTGTTTTTTGTTGTTGTTGTTGTTTGATCATTATCATCATCACCATCAATAACAACCAATCATGATGATGAGTGTTGACAATAATTTGTTTCTAACAATAAATTCTACTTAAATGTTTTCCACTCTAATAGTTGATTTGTAATCAAAAAGAAAAAATTCTTGATTCTTTCGATTATTTTCTGATCAAATGCCCGCACATCATTTTGATCAAAGTGAGCTTATAATGTAATCGCTGTCTAGTAGAGTGTTGAAAGTTAGATCACACAAGTAAATTATTACTCTCGGAAAAATAAGTCAAACTTTATTAAACTTTGTTCATGCTTAAATACTATTCTGAAGTTCGACAACCGAACTTCCAATGTTAATTAAATAATTCGAAAGCCAAGGCTGACCTCGAACATATTGTAACACTACANCAATATATAATTGTTGTACATTTGAAATCGATCAATGCTTGTGTGCAAATCAAATCAAATGAAAGCGAATTTTTTTTTGTATCGAAAAAAATTCTTGCACAACAACCAGACTGAATCCACCCACACGCTCAATGTAATGCCATACTAATTATTATTCTCAAATGTTATTTATGGAAAATCAAAAAAGAACAAAATTCCAAACATCATTATTGAACAACTAACATTTTATGATTTCATGTTTCTCTTTTTCTTGTTTTTCGTTTTTTTTGCTTCACAATATTTATTGCAACCGATTGATTGAAACCGGAACATGGAATAAATTTCTCATTTTAATTTCAACAAAAGAGAAAATGAAACAAATTTTATTTCTTTGCATCAATTATAAATAAAATCAAAATGTCTCGAATTCATTTATCCAATGATGATGGTGATGACGGTGAAAGGTCATCATCATCATCATCATCATATTTATCAACATCATCATTACGTTTATTTGAATCATCAGCTTTTGGTTCAACATCAAAATCATCATCATCATCATCATCATCATCAATGAAACATGTAACACCAACCGAATTACCATCACCATTTACAGATAGATTTGTAAATAGTTTATCAAATTATTATTCAGATGAAAGTTTTGAATCATCATCAAATAATAATGGTGGTATTAGTACATTATTTTATGAAACAAGTGCGGCTGATGTTGATTTACGATCATCATCGTCATCATCATCGATGTGGTCATCATTTTCATCATCAATAACATCGGCAACACCGCCAATATCATCCTCATCTTTTCTTTCATCATCAAATTCTGCCTCTCCAACATTTTTCGGATCATCATTACCATCATCATCATCATCATTTTATTCACAATTAAATCAACAACAAACAAATTTACCATCAACATTAACATTAATGATGACAAATACAACAATGTCATCAATATGGGAAACAATTACAATGAATAATAATAATTTTAATAATTATAATGATAATAATAATAATACATTAATAGATATGATGACAGATACAACAACAGGAAATTATTCATTAGATTTATTAGATGAAGAACAAATGGAAAGAAATATTTATATAATGCCTTTATATCAACAAATTTTATGGAGTATTATATTCGGTACAATGGTATTTGTTGCTGCCGGTGGTAATATTATTGTGATATGGATTGTTTTAACTAATAAAAGAATGGTAAATAAAATTTGTGTTTTGTTTTTTTAGAAATTCTTAATTCGATTATACAAGAAAAAAAAAACATAAAAAACAGTCTCTCTCTCTCTAAAATGAAAGCAATTAGCTAATCTAATCGGAATTTCTTTTCTCTTTTTTTTCCAAAAAAAAATCCAAATTGTTAATGTATTTTTTTATTATTATCATCATCATTATATTATTGCCCTTCATCGTTATTTTCAAATAATTATTTTATCCATTAACTAACTATAATGATCATTCGTTATAATTATAATTATTGTGGTTGTTTTAGACATGGTATAGATGTGTTTTATTTCTCATTCGACATTTAGATATTTGGATTACAATTAAACATCATTCGAATGTGTAGTTTGAGTAATTCAGGAATTTTTTTTAGTTTATCTGGTCATTGTTGATTCCTTGATTGCCTTATATTCCGGTTTTATTAATTACAATTTTAATATTTTTTTTTCTTCATTTGTTTCTGTTTCAACCCAAAAATCCATATTCCAATTCTGTTTTAGCGTACAGTTACAAATTATTTTCTTGTCAATTTAAGCGTTGCCGATATAATGGTATCAACATTAAATGTTATATTTAATTTTATTTATATGTTAAATTCAAATTGGCCTTTTGGTGAATTATTTTGTAAAATAACAAATTTTATTGCTATATTATCGGTTGGAGCTAGTGTATTTACATTGATGGCTATATCGATTGATCGGTAAGTAATAATAGCATTATTTCTTTTATTTAAATATTCGTTCTGTTTTGTTTACATAACTAAATGATAATAATCGATAATTTAAGTGGTTCGATTATGATGATACTAATGATTATTGATTATTTTGTTGTTTATAAATAAATAAAACTACAAATGAAAAAGAAAAACCTATGAATAGACATTTATTAATTGATTTTATTGTATTTGGTTATCATTTTTCTTATAATTATATTTATTTAGTGGTCAGTGTGAAAAAAAACAGAACTGTACATCTTAAAGAAAAAAACATTAAATTGAATTGAATTACCTGTTTATTTACCTAGAAAGTAATCAATTTATGACCATCATGTTTCGATAAGATTTTCGTTTCGTTTTGTTTTGTTTTTTGCTCACCACCACCATCATCATTATTGTTTGTCAGTAATAAATTTTTTTTTTTGGAAATAACAGAAATAAATGAACATTATTAATTGATTGTTGGAATTTGTATGTATGTATGTATGTTTTTCATTGCAAAGCAAACAAACAAAACAAAAGAAGAAAAAAAAACATTTATTATCAACATCATTGAATCTGTCACGATGTAAATATCCATTATCAATTTAACTATGTATAGTTGAATCATAGAATTAAAAGATCAAAACGAAGCAAAAAAATTAGCGATAAAATACAATATATTCGATGATTGCATAATATTCATTCAATCAATTCTTAAATGATAATGAAATATCCTTGAAAATCTGATATCATTTGAATTTTTTTGTTTTTGTTTCAAACGTTATCTGGTTATTTGGTTTGATTGATTATCATTGAATTTTCTTCTTCTGTTGTTGTTATCTTAGAATTTTTCGTTTTATCTTTTCTTCTTAGATTTTTAATGAGATTCAATCTATAATCAAGTTAAAAAGAGTAAAGATTATGTTTCATTTAATTAACACATTTTTCTCATCTTGGTACAAAAAAAAAATATTCATCGATAATCATCAAATATAAGGTTTTTCGCAATAAAGTTTTTTCATGTGATTAGATATCTTTTTTTCTTAAAATGCAAAATGTTTTCATCATCATCTTATTCATTATCCCAAAAAAACGTTGCTTGATTATGAATTTTTTATTGCTTAATAGGAATATATTTTTCATTCGTTCATTCATTCATTCATTAATTAATAATTATGATAATGATTTACGCAATTTTTGATTGTCAATTTATAACCAAAAAATAACTAATTATTTGAAAAAACAAAATTATAACAGCAGATTCAGATTCAGAACATTCTATATTTTTATCATCTAAACGATATTGACGATGATAATCAACCCATTTGATGAAGAAATTATTATCATTTTTCTTTGTTTTTGTTTTTATTCTGTGCTGTTTATCCATTCTTACTTACAAAAAAAGTCTATTTTTATAAAAGTCTATATGGTTTATTTTTCCAGATGAATGCATAAATTTTTTATTATTTTTTTTTTTGTTTTTGGTTTTGAAAATGTTGGATTCAAGAAAAATAATGCTGATGATATAAGGTGGTTTATAGGATTGAGAAATTTTTTTTTCTGTTAAAAAAGAATATACATTTTCAAGTAACATTTTATATATATTTGGGTTTTTTAATATTTAATCATTTAGGTTGTTTATCAATTTTATTTCTGTAGTTTTTTTTTTGGTTTTACAATTTTTAGAAACTTTTTTTTTCCATCTTCAATTTGATTGTGGAAACTTTTTTCTCCATATATATTCATGCATGGAATTTTCATGAAGAAAAAAGTTTCTTTTTGTTTTCTCATTTTGAAATTAATCCCTTCAGAAACAAAACAAAACAAAACGAAATTCTTTAACATTGTCATCGAACAGAAAGTGACAGAAAGATAGAGATAGAGATAGTGTGAATGTTTCATTATGATTTTGTTTAGTTATTTTTCTATTCATGAAATTTGCTACTGTTTTAATGATTATCATTAATTTCAAATTGATTGATAAACATGTTGCAACAATTTGTGGTTTGAACTTTTGAAGAATATATTGGAGAATTTTGGAAATTCGAATTTCAAATTCAATTCAATTTGTTATTTGTGAATCAAATTCAATTGTAATTTCGAATGAAATTCTATTAATTTTATCGAAGTTTTTTATTTTCCTTCCAATCATTATCATTATTATTATGAGTACATCCGTTAATGGGAACAAATATAAAAAAAAAGAAATCATAAGAAAAAGTATAGAGGATAGAGAATAGAGAAAAAAAAACCAGTTATTATTATTCAGAAGTTCTGAAGAACAGTAAAAATTACGTATAAATTATCTTAATAAAGAATTTCTAATAACTTTTTTTTCCCACTTACTAACTTTTACTACTTTTTTTTCAAACTTCTAATATTGAACTATATTTTTTTTCTTGGGATCATCATCATTGTCGGTTATTACACAACCAGATTTTATATTATTGTTTGTTTATGTGTTGAGCAGGATAAAAACTAACTACACTTTTTTTTGTTGTTAAGTTAATTTAAACAAACTTTTTTTTTCTTTCTTTTATCAAAAATCATTATCATTACTTCCTTTTGATTATCGTTTTCGGTCTGCTAATTTCAATACATGTTTTATTGATAGATTTTCAATGGATTCTTTCTTCCTATTGGAATCCAACTACCATATACATTATCATCATTCTTGTTTATTATTATTAATATTATACAGAAGAAATGAATGATGATTTTGGTTCAAGTTATTTATAAGTGTATGTGTTTGTGTGATGGTATTTTTAATATATGATAAATAAATACATTGAACGAAGAAGAAGAAGAAAAAATCTGATACTTGGTGAATGACAAAACTTTCAGATTTTATAGATTGTGAATGAATGAATGAAAAATATATTTTTAAAACTCATCAAATTCTTCTGCCAAAAAAAGTCAATTTTTTTCATAAAAGTTTTATTATCGGTCATATGAATGTGTGTGTGTGTGTGTGTTTGTAAAGAAAAACAACAACGGATATTAGTTACCTAATTTCTTTTTTTTTACTGATTTCATTTAATTTTTAATGTTTTTTTAAAATTATTTATTCTACACTATCATCATTACCTACAAACTAATGAACATCATTTTCATTACATTGAAATGATTGATCGATAAATTTTTTTTTTTGTTTCTTTTTAAGTTTTGTATATCTCGAATGTTACTGTGTGTTTGTTGTTGTTTCAAGTGATATAGTGAAAGTAAAAAAAAACTGCTGATGTGTTACCGAATTTCTATATTTAATGTTTGTCTATGGCCATATATTTATTTGCTATAAATTTTTCAAATGAATTTGTTTTTGCTTCTTTGTTTTTCCTGTATACTGTTCATTTTTGAAAGCCAATGTAATTTTACTGTGTAATTCCTGTTCGACATTGTTTTTCGAGTATGTTTTAGGATTTTTTTTTGTTTGCTTACTTTGAACACATTGAGAGAAACAAGGCAATAAAGTAATAATTCTGATCGAACAGATTCTCAATGATGTTGATGATGATGATGATAATGTTATACTTAAGTGAAAACAATTTTCCAATGTTGATTACTGATCATCATTGAAGATAAACGAAAGAGAAAAGAAAATGTATAACGTTTTTGGTTAAGGAAAAAAACTGAAGAAAAGTTCAAATAATGATTACACACAAAAACAATGAAAGGCTACTAGCGATGATGATGATTACAGTCATTATCTAATAATTATCTCGAAACAAAGTATGTTTCTCTTGAAACAACAACAACAACAACTTGATTCTGGATGGACCCAAAATGAATTCTTTACTTTTAAAAATAGAGAAAAAGAAGAAGAAGTGGATTGCAAACACAGACACACAATCTGTAAATAGAAAAAACAATTTAATCGCATAGAATTCAGTTTTTCTTCCAGTTTCGTATTACATTTATTGATTATCATCGTCATTGTAGATTTATTTATGTTTATCAACATTTTTTTCGGTAGGAAGACAAAATAATAACAACAACAAAAACAACAATCATAATCAATTATATTGAAATATGAAAAATTGTTCAAAAAAAAAGAATGATACTTGAAACTTTAATTCAATTGATTTTGTTCTTTTTATCTATATGAGATCCCATCGGTGAATTGGGAAAAAAAAGTTTGTTTTATTAAGCTATTTTTTCAATTTCTGATTCCACAGAATTTAAATTTTTAATCAAGAGGAGAGAGAGAGAGAGAGAGAGAGAATAAGGTTAAAAAATTAAATGTTTTTCATTTTTTTTGTATCAATTATAATTAGTACAGTAGTCGTGTTTTTTGTTTTTAATTGTTCCAATCGTATAAATGTTATTTTTTCCAAAAAACAACCCATAACGTAAATGTTTTGTTGTCGTTGTTTTTTTATATAATCATGATTCTTGTTGATGTCAGCATTTGTTTTTCATTATTGATTTCGCGATTTTTAAAACAATTTGATTTATGCATTCAAGATTTTACCAAAAAGAAAATCATTGACTTTTTTGTTTGGCTGGAAATAGAACATTGACATTTTGAATTTACTTCACTTTTTTTTGATTTATTATCATTATTATTTTAGTTTTAGTTTTTGACAAAAAAAAAAACACGATTTATTTGCCGATTCTGTTCATAATGATTATATTATTAGCCATGTTTTTTTAATTTGAAAATATTGAATTTATCATTTTTCATATTTTTTTTAATGATTATCATTAAACCAAATATTACTATTATTCAATAAATTTGAATGAGCTTATTTTTGCTTTGAATGAAGTGAATGATGAAGAGAAAATGATAAATTGAACCTTTTTTTTGTAACAATTGTTTTTCGTTACAAATTAATGATTAACTTGTATGGACGATTGAATCAAAAGGCGTGGGTATTTTTTTTTTGTGATTTGCCTGTTCAATTATCAAAATCTTTTCATTTCAAAAAAAATTCTTTAGTACTCATTCGAAAATGTTGAATGTTTTCTGCAATTTTGAAAATGAAAAAAAGTGACTTTTTTCTGGTGAGTGCATTTAGTTTGTTTTTTTTTCTTCTTCTTCAAAGATTGTGTTAATAACGTGTTTGGTATTATATGATTCAAATTAATATTATTGACCCGAATTATACAGAATAATAATCTTTGATTGAATGAAATAATCCAAATGTTGATTTTACTTAAGTATTTTTGTTTTTTTCTATTTGAAATAATTTCAGAATGTTTTTGTCGGAAATTTGAAGGATTTTTTTTTGTTTTCAAAACCAAATTAACAAAAATAACAACAACAAAATTAATCTCTTTTTGGGTAAATGGAAAAAAAGTTAAAATTTTAAAGAAAAGTACTATTGCTGTCGTTACTGTTGAGCTTTTTTTCAGATCAATCAATTTCCATAGGATTCTTGTGAATTCGGAAAAAAATCAAATATCAAACATTTTCCATTAGAACAAGAAAAAAATCCAATGATCTTTATCCCTCTTTTTTTTACGTAACAAGTAAACAATTTAAGTCATCATGATCTGTTTGTTTTTATTTTTTTTTGTTGTTGCTGTTGTTTAACTTTTTATCATAAAAGTTTGTTTATTCAATCGTTTTACACTTACTTTTTTTTTCTATAAATGTCACTTGAAAAACGAAAGCTAAGTAATAATTTGAGAAATCTTTTCCCCCGAATCGATAAATTAAATTCTTAAAATGCTTTTTTTTTGCCTAGCAATGAAATCAACAACAAAATGATTCGAGAGAAAAAACCTTTTTCAAAAAAAAAAAAAAATTAAACAAAAATAATATTTGCTCGAACGAAATTAATTTCTGTTTTTCGATTGATTTCATATTGAAATCTAATGAAATTTTTTTTTGTATAGTAACAATGAGTGAACTGAACTTCATAACAGAAGAATGATTCAACAACAGCAACAAACGTAATGCTTCCTACAATATTGTTGACGAAAATCTTAATTAAAAACAAGCAAATTCAATAAGTCATTTCCATTTTTTTGTTTTGCTCAACAATAATTAATATTTACACATTCAATATTTTTCACAAAATTAAAAATGATTTGTTTTGAAATGCATTCCATTCTTTTCAAAACAATTTGATTTTTTTTGTTTGTTTGTTTGATTATAAATGAATTTTTGTTTTGTTTGTCTTCATTTTTTTGGCCTTTTTATTATACGAATTTGTCATGATTTCTTCGCTTTTTTTCTGGATTCATAAATATTAATCATGATGATGGCGATGAAAGACAAAGAAAAAACAAAAGCAATAATATGCATTCCATGACAATAATCAAAATCTTTAGCAATAAGAATTTTATTATTATTCTTCGTCGTCTGATTCACTTCATTAAACTTCAATAATAATAATAATGAGTTTTATGAACTTTTCTTCATTATCATTGTCTTTTTGCTTACTTTATTAATTCTTCTTCTCAATTCAATATAGTTAATTAGTTTTTCTTTTTTTGGAAAGGAATTTTTTCATCATTTTGATTTTTTCACTGTTGTTGCTATGTTGTTCATATTGATTGATTTTTGAAAAGAAATGGATGAAAAAAAATTTCAATCAACAAAAAAATGGATGATACATTCATTAATTCAATGATACTTGAGAAAAAATATTGATTTTTTTCTATATTTTCATTCTTGAATCAAAATATAAAAAGTAGAATTTGAAATTTCAGAAAAAAAAACAACTTTTCTGAAATTTTTCAAACAAACTTTTTAATATGACAAACTTGTTTGCCGAATGCCAGTTTTGATTAGGTCATTTTTTACCGCTGCATTTTTCATAGTTGAAACAACTTTTTTTTCATTCATCACTTGCCTTATTTCTCCACAAATTCCATCCAAGATTCTAATCGAAAAAAAAGTTTCATCAGGTTAGAAACCAACCAAAAAAATTGAGTTTGCCTTATTTTTCTTTCCTTTACCTATCTTTCTTTTCATTTTATTTAAAATTTAATGTTGAAAAAAACTATGATGCTGTTCACGTTCAAAACCATTGAATTTGTATCACTATTTTCAGTAAATAAAATCCAGGATGGAAAAGAAAATATTTCGAGTCTATTTTCACATCTAATCAAGAAAATGAAGGTATGAAAACGATAGCACCTGGCTAAAATCTCACATTGAAGAATTTGTTTCTCATTGATTTGATCACAAACGAAAAAAAAAATGATAATCATCAAAATGCAATAGACTATGTAGTGTGTGAAGATATCAAAAGCAAAATCCGATCCATCATTGAAAATCATCATCATCATCATCATAAACATATGACGTGATCTTGATACATTTGAAACTTTCTATTCTCTATTCTGTATTTTGTTTATTTCTTATCTCAATAATGATAAGCAAAAAAAAAATTCACACATTCAAAAAACTTGATTTTCTTACCTTGTGTTCACAATAAATGACAGGTGTCACTTGTGTTTCACTACTACCAGTATATATTCAGTAACTAAGATCTATGAAATTTCAAAAAGTTTTCTTTTCAAAATTTTTTGTTTTTTATAACATCATTACAGAATTTTTTTTGAAAAAAAAGTTTTCATTATTTATTTCATTCACTAATAACGTTATAATTTTTTTAAATTTTTTCCTGTTTTTTTTTGTTGTTTTCAACAGATATTTAGCCATTGTACATCCATTAAGGCCACGTATGTCTCGTACAGCAACTGTAATAATTATTGTTATCATATGGATTGCAAGCAGTTTTCTATCATTACCAAATATAATTTGTTCAAAAACAATTGTTGAAGAATTTAAAAATGGTGATTCAAGAGGTATGTAATTTGACAACTGGAATTTATTTAAAAAAAAAGAACTAATAATGATGATAATATATAAATGTTCATCATGTTCATTAGTTAATTTTTTTTTGTTTTGATGAAATAAAAAGAGCAGAATAAAGAAAAAAATAGCTAAAATCACGATCCATAAATTATATAAAACGTAATAAACAAACATAAACACAAACACACTATGATGATGATAAAGATATTTACTTAATAAATTAAAATTACTAAAATAACTTTAGTCAATAATAGTGTTTAGTGTTAAAGTAGTAGTAGGTAATGTTATTGTTTTTCTCCATCAAAAATATTATTTTAATATCCCGTTTTTTGTTGCTTACTCCAAACATGATTCATACACAAATAGATTCTCATTCAATTTACTCATTAAATGGATTATCACATTTTATTTTTAACAACAACAGTAACAGCAACTATAATTCAATTACTAAATTAATTTTAATTATGCATGACATTCACGTTTCTCTTTTTTTTTTCTCTCTTTCTTTCTCTCATTTTCTTTCTTTTGTTTTAAATTCTTCTGGATAATCTGGGCATCTTTTTTCGAATAATGAATATTATGATTTGGAAAAATTGAAAAATTTTACTGAAAAAACCAATGGGAAACAAATTGAAAAGTTGTTTGCTATCTTGAATGGTATGATGGAATATCGACAAAATCTCGTATCGAATATATGTAAGTTGTATTAAGAATCCGAATAAATCATACAAATCTATAACACACACTTACAACACTTTCAAATATTCAATCCTTAGATAAATATTATGTGTGTGTTTGTGTCTGTAAAATTTTCCTTTATTTCCTGATTTTTTTTTATTTTTTTTCTGTTGAAGAAAAAAAAAATCCAATAAAAAAGGCATTAATGGCTTCAAAGATTTGAAATTCAAATATTTTTCCATTCTCTTTTCCCTTGAAATTTCTAAGATAGACAAGAAAAAAATACGAAAGGATTTATTAAATTGAAATTCATCTGAGGAAGAAGGAAAGAAAGAATGATTTACAATTTGATATTGATTCTGAGTTTGAAATTTGCTTTGTTTTTTTTATATTGACCAATCGTATTGATGATCAAATTTTAATTAAATTACATTAAACATTCTGAACGATAATAATCATTTTTATATTTTTTTTCGAAGAAATTCTGCAAAACAAAACAGGTTCTAAGGTTATATAATCGAGCATGTTGAAGCAAATGTTATAGAAAAAACACCAGGAACTTAATTTAAATTTTAAATTATAATTAACTATAACTATAGTTAGCGTGATTTTAGAACAGCCAAAAAAAAGGAAATTCTAATTTCAACAATCAAATATTAGTACAAAATTACATTAAAATTTTCTCAAGCAAAAGAATAATTTCACAATTTTTTTTCTGGATGATCCGTTAAGAAAACAAAAACTCCAACAAATACAACAACAACAACAAAAAACGATTTCATTTTTACTGATCATAAATTTTTCAACTTTTATAATTCACAGCTTGATTTTATTGCTATATGAAATCAACTTTATTCTGCAAAATCTGATTTAATGTTGATTTTTTTTTCGATTTAGTTTTATTTACACAAACGATATATTCATTATAGATGAACAGGAAAAGATTTTCAGAGAATTTTCTTTAGAAAAGCAAAAGATTCAATTTTCCAAAGAATTTCATCATGAAAAGATAATCTTATTGAACAGGAAATTGGGTCAGTTTCTTGATTCACTTTTGTTTTATTTGATTTTTTGTCAACGAAAAAAGTTTTGATTGCCAAGCATTCATCAACCACTGAATGATTTGAAGAATTCCGAAAAACTTTTAAAAATTTTGTTTTCCCAATTACAATTGCATTTAAAGTTTTTTTTCTGCAAAGGATTATTATAATTAAAATTATTGTAAGCAACAAGTCATTATGAATCAATCCGATTGTATATCTCGAATGTATTTGTGAAAAGGATTTAGTTGTTTTTTCTCTCATAGAAAAGTGTTACCGGCTTCTTGTGAATTGAATCCAGAAGAAGAAAAAAAACTGACGTAATTGTTTCATATAGATTTATTCGAAATGAAATAACTTTTCATCTATAATTCATTCGGTTTTATTCATTGAACATATTGCACAAACAAAAAAAACAAGAAAAAAAAACTAGAAAACAGAATCTGATTGAAACGAATCAAGGAAGAAGAAATAATTTCATCATTTCAACATAACAATCGTACTATATTTAGAAATGTAACAGCAGCGGTGAACGAATTATTATTATTACCAAAATAATAATAATATCAAATGAACAATTCAATTATTGAGAAAATGATGAAAAAAATAATAATAATATGAACAGTGAAAGATTCTGTAATCATTCAGAATATGATGAGTTTTATATAATATGATAAACAACAACAACAACAGAAACAAAAAAAAAACAGCAAAAAGTTTGAGCTTTATAATCGAATAAAATTAATGATAAATAAATAGGAAAAGCAATGAGAGAGAGCGAGAGAGAGAGAGAGAGAAAAAAAATATGATGGAAAGCAATGAAAGAGAGTAGAAGCGAATAGATCAAGATTAATTAAAATAGATAATGAATTTGTGTGTTTGTTTTGCTTTTCGTTTTGATCTGTAGCAAAGTAAAGATCAATTACAATTCTTGAACAACAACAACAACAACAACAACAACAAGGATACAGAGAGATATTCTCATAGAATTCCAACATATGATTGTTAGATTAAACATTGAAAACCACCATTATATTTATTTATCAGTCTGTCTGTCTGGTGATAGTGTGTTTTGTTAATATGGGAATTTTGTTTTGTTTTGCTTTTGTTTCCTGGTTTGACGTTTTCATTACACAATTTACAAAAAACGAAACGTTTTCATTTTTATTTTTATTTTTGTTTTATTTTTTTTCTTGACCAATCTCTTGGGTTTTTACTTTTTTTTAGTTTTTTTTCAGTTGTTTAAGTAGCTGCTATAAGTTTTTTTTGTTCCATTTCGATTCTTATATGATTCTACAATTACAGTTTAGTTTCTGATTATTATTATGTCTTATGTCTATGAATGTGATGATGATGATGAAGAAAAAAAAAGTTTTTTTGTTGTTGTCGTTGTTGTTTCAAACAACGAAAAAAAATCAAACAAAAACATCATCATCATTTTACTTTAATGAAAGATGAACTAAATTCTGCACATTTCGTATCCAATCTTGCTGTTCGTTTTTTTTTGCTTGTTAGAACTTTTTTTTCTCACACAAACACACACACATTAGCTATCATATTATATAAGTTTTGTTTCCACACTGTGGTTAAATAAGTTTTTTTTTGTTTTTTGTTTTTGGACACTAGATCAAAATGTTGATGATGTTTATTGTAAATGATTGTTGTTGTTGATGTTTGTTTGTTTGTTTCTGATTCGAAAGATTATTTTTTGACATACACACACACACACACACTTCACACTAGGAATAAAGTGTGATATAATTTTTTTTTTGTTCTGGTTTTTTTTTTTGGTTCGTATTCATTACGCATAAAAGTGGATATTATTAATTCCATTAGATTTCATCTGAAAAATTCAGGATTCATAGTTTTTTTTTGTTGGTAATAATTACATCGTGATGATTATGATTTGTTTGTTTTGTTTTGCCCTCGATTTTAGTGATAACATTATTTTCGATCTAGACAAGAGAAAAAACAAGAGAAAAAGGAAGAAATATCTAGGCATATTAAGTTTCAGTCCGGATTTTTATCCTTGTCCAATCGATCAAAGTGAATGAAATAAAAAAAAAAGTTATCGATAAGTTGTTGATGATGAACAAAAAAAATACCCAAAATACATTTCAATAATTTCCATTTAATATTCACAAACTTTTAAATGATTTATGAATAAAATGTTCTTTTTTTTCTCGTAACTTTATCGTTATATCGTTTTTTTTGTTGTTGTTGAAAAAAGTATCACGAGTTTTTGGCTAATAACTTATTGGATGACCATATTTTTTTGATAAATTAATCATTAAATTTTCAATACAGAAATACAACAAAAATCTATTTTCACATTTGATTTACATATGTTTGTTTTTCTTCCATTATTTTTTTTTCTTCTTCTTTCTAATTCGTAATTACGTAAATAACAAAGTTATAATGTGATTATTTTATTGGTCACTTATATGTTGCCTATTGCATCAATGTCCTATACATATTTTCGTGTTGGTCGTGAATTATGGGGTAGTCAAAGTATTGGTGAATGTACAGCTAAACAAATGGAAAGTATTAAATCAAAACGTAAAGTATGTATCTTTTATTTATATTGATAATATGAAATAAACAATCAAAAATATCATTTATTCAATGTTATTAGATTGTCAAAATGATGATGATCGTTGTGGCCATATTTGGGGTAATTGTTTGTCCACTTAATTATATATTAACTTATTTTTTTTTGTAATTATTCATTAATATATCAATTTATTTAATTTAAAAAATAGGTTTGTTGGGCACCATATCATATTTATTTTTTACTTGCTCATCATTATCCACAAATAATTAATTCAAAATATGTACAACATACATATCTAACAATTTATTGGTTAGCAATGTCTAATAGTGTATATAATCCATTTGTTTATTGTTGGATGAATTCAAGGTATTGTTTATATTATATTCAATAAACAATTACAGTTTGTATTTGAATGTTTCTTTTCCAAATATTTTTTATTTTATTAAATTATCATTTCTATTTTCATTTGTTTTTTCCCATTATCAATCAAACACATATAGATTTAGGCAAGGATTTCGAAATATATTCTGTTGTACTTGTTTTCAGGATAATGTAAAACCGGGTGAACGTTTTCATCATTATAATAATCGTCATCGTCATCATAATAATAATAATCAAGATAGTAATATATTACAAGATCGTTATCATGGTACAGCTCGTTATAGTTGTGCATCTGAAGCATGTATTACTGATACACGTGTACGTTTTAATGGTAATGGTAATATTACATTACAGCCAACAACAGTTATGGATATGACAACAACAATAATGGATGGTTCTTGTAGTCCTAATTTACATGGTTGTTTATTATCAAGTAATAATGCAAATGTTTTAGTTGATAATAGCTGTATTAGTGGTGGAATTGGTACGGCTGCAACAATAACAACAACAACTATGACTACTAGTTATACGAATAATAATAATAATAATAATAATAATAACAGTAACAGTCCATTACATCAACAATCAAATATTCAATATTCATCACGTGAAATGTTATGATATTCAATCACCAGAAAGAAAAAAATGCACTCACAACAACAACAACATAAGTTACTTAAGTGAGAAAACCATATATGATTTAAATAGAAAGAAATCCAAAGTGTTTTTTTTCTGTGGAAAGCCAAAATCCAAATCTATTGATCATTTTCTTCTATTTCTTCAAATCAAATTTCATTCATCATTTTTTTTCCTTTTTTTTCCTATTTGAGCTTCAAATTTCTTACTTTTAACAGAATTTTCTCTTCTTCTTCTCTTCATTCGCATTACTCATCATCATCATTTGATCATAAAAGAGAACGAAAAAAAAAGAAAAAAAGAAATGATGCCTCGATAAGCCAACCAACCAGCCAGCAAAAAAATTCAATCATTTTTACATTATTTATCTGATATGAATTATAATTTAATTGAAATGAATTTGATATATAAATAAGATACACACACACACACACACAAATATACGGACAAACATTCACAAAAAAAAATGCCAAACCATAATCAATAACGATAACGATAATAATAATGGACATTTGAAAACAGAACCGATCATCATTCATTGACACGTAAATGCACAACACTAACACATTTTCAATACCGGTGATTTCTATATTTCTATATTTCTTTTCTTTTCTTTTCTTCTTCTTTTTTTTCCATCATTTAGAATCTCATCAATTCTATATTATTGTTATTGTGAAATATGGATTGATAAATAATGAAGCAAAAAAAACAACAACAAATAAATAAATAAATAAAAAAAGATTGAATTTCCAAAGTTTTTTTGTCGCTTTCATTTCTTGTTTGTGTGTGTGTGTGTGTTTGTCGTAAATTGAGTTGAATCGTAAATAAAAATCTGTTTATCAATTCTGAACTTGTCTATTTTCTTTTTTTGCAAAATGAACCACAGTTGTAGCGATATATAATATCAATTTTATTATATTGTGGCCATCAAAACACATCACATAATATCACATCATAATCACACAATGACAAACGCAAACAATTTAGATTTTGATTGTGAAAAAGAAAGAGAGAGAGAGAGAAATGAACAATATCAAATCGATAGAATTAAATGAATGAATGAATTTTATTTCATATAATAAATAAATAAAAAAAATTCAATATATGAAATGATCATCGTTTTATCATTTTCTTTTTCTTTTCCAAAACTTTATTATCATCATCATTACATGTTGAAAGAAAAGCTAATAAGTATAAGTTTTTTCTTTCTTAGCGATCATTTCGATCAACAACAACAACAACAAAAAAAGAAACAATTTTGATTTGTACAATTCTCTGGTGTTGTCAATCTCTTCTCTGGATACAATCATTTCATTTTTTATTTTTATTTTTCCAAAGAACAATTCAGATTTTTTTTTTTGAAAACTTACACATCATTTTATGGTGAATCATTTACAACATTCACAATGCATATTTTTTGAGCTAAAAAAAGAAAAAGAAAAAAAATTAACAAATCCATTAGATGCACATGTTTCATTGTAGCCACAAATATTTTTTCTGAAATTTTATTTTGTTTGAAATGTCATTCTTATTTCATTTCATATTCACCATCTTATATACAGGGAAAATAAAAAATCTACAAAAAAAATCATCATTGTTGAATTTCGGCAGTGAAGCTTACATTTCATTACAGTATTTCTATTTTGATTCAAATCAATGGCGAAGTAAGGTTAATTATGAAAATAAGAAAAAAAATGTAAAAGTAAAAGTAAAAAGAATCATTTGCATTTGCAAATATCTATAGTTTGTTTTCAATGATAATGGAAATGGCAATTTGTTTTCATTCATTCATTCATTGTTTCTATTTTGAATGTTACAAATGGTTATATTGAGAATGGCAAGAATTTCAAATTTATATTGATGGACTGATGGAAAAAAATACATCAAAGTAGGCGTTAAAAATGAGAAAAGAATAATAATGACAATCAGTTGTCGTTAGGAATTCAAGAATATTTCCTGAGCAAAATATGTAAAAAAAGAAATTTTAGTTTTTAAAGTTTTATAAAAAAATTCAAGTTGAAATTAAAATGCATAAAAATTATTTGGATTGTTTTGTTTTGTTGACGACATACACTAATCATAAATCATTGATTTTTCCTTTTTCATTGAATAAATTTTTTCAAACATTCAAATCAAATTGCCCGAAAAAAAAAGATTCCGAATTTAGATTTGAATGTTTTTTCGTTGTTTTACAATATCTATTTTTTTTGTTTAAATTGTTTTAAATTTGATAAATTTAACATCATCAATTTAAATTGTAAATTTTTCTCTTTTATGTTTGTTTTCTGCATTGACAAATGAAAAACATTGTTGTCGAAATTATAATGGCAGATGAGCATCAATGTTGATTAACAGTACAGGACGTAATGTCAGACTAAAAACAGTGTGCGTGGGAAACAAAAACTTGTCAACAGACAAAAAAAGTTGAACATCAAGTATACAATTCTGGAATTTCATTGATAACAACAACAAACAAAGCAAAAACATTGAATTTTTCTGTGATTTTTGCTTCAGAAAAAACAAAACAAAACAAAAAATTCTAATTAACATTTTAAAATTAAATTAAATTAAATTATCATTTTTTTGGTTCTAATAATAACATTATTATTTTTATAAAGTATACATTACTTTCTGGACATTCTTCATTTGTTCACCAAAAAACAAAAGTAATTTCGTCATTTCATTTCATTTCATTTCATTGATTCAATCATCATCATCATTTATGAAAGAAGCAACAGCAACAGAAAAATCAATGATATGAAATGAAAAAAAAACATTGAAAACCAATATGTATTGGATACTCAAGGGGCTAACAAACAAACAAACAAGCAATTCCAAAACAAAACAAAAAACACTGAATTCTTTGATTCACACATTGACTGACTGACTTGTTTCATCATCAATAACCCAAAAATATCCATCGAGAAAACATTTTCCTTAATATTTGATGTTTTTTAAACAATGGTCATGATTTTTCTCTTTACATGCCAATATTTTTCCGTATTTTCTTAATGTTTTTTTCTCAATTTTAATTCTTCAAACTTTATTTATTATCGATTTTTTTTTTGATTTTCAATTTTTTGCTTTTTTTCAATGGCAAATTGTTTTTGTTTTGTTTTTTCGTTGTTTGTTTGTATCTGGTGTTCAAGTCGGTTTTTTTTTGGTTCGCAATTCTTTTTTTTATTGACCGGACAAATTGCCGTAAAAATTGTTGTTTGTTGTTTTTTTTGCTGATTGTTTGATCTCCATTATTGGTATTTTCCACTACATTTTTTCTTTCCTCAATTTGATTTTCTAAAAAAATTGCTGAACTGACAGAAACGAAAAAAATCAATTTCAATGAATCATACATCATGATGTTTGGATGAAGTGAACACAAAAAGACATTCATAATAATCTCAAGTTATAACCAAAAACAATGGTTTTTTTCCCAAAGATTAAGATCGATAAACCAAAAAATATTTTTCTAGATCAACAAAAATCCTGATGTTGATGATGATACTAACTACATTGGACAGAAACAAAAATTAATTCAACTTAATGAAATTAAACTGATCCAAAAACCTGTGGTTTTTGTTTGTTTGTTTGGTTGTTCTCTTGATTACTACTGATTGGATACTTGATTAAAACAACAACAACAACAACAAAATAATTGAACCAAACTGTAATGATGATGGTGATGATGAAACCAGGAATGAATGAATGAAAAAAAACCAGAAGTTTTGTTTTTTTTAGCAAAAAATGAAAACTTTTTTTTTTGGGTTTCATTCGAATTCATATTCTACTGTTTTATTTTGACAAAATAATACCTTATTATTATTCAAAAGGTAGAGAAAATAATTCTGTAAGCATCAAGCAAGCAAGCAAAAAAATGAAACTATTTTGTAAACTACAAAATTCAACCCCACCAACCAAAACAAAGTGAATGGACGAATTTTGTTTTTCTTCTCTTGATTATGAGTGAAAAAAAAGTTCAGGGGATTTTACTTTGCTTTGAATTTTTTTTTGTCCCCACTTTTTTTTCATTTATTCATTCAGCTCATTATAATCTGGATATACCAAAAAAATACCCAAAGTAGTAAAATAATGAACAAAAAAAAAAACAAACGAGATTTTAAGTGGAAATTAGAATAATAACAGAACATAATCTGGATGTCAAAATTCCATCACAGCCATATTACCACCACCACCACCACCACTTCCATCACCCCTTTTTTTTGAAAAAAAATTTGGGCCAATAGGGTTATTACAACAACTTTATACATGCAGAACATCTAAATAATCATCATCCTTTTTTGGCATAATGATATTTATTTTGATTTGGATATTTATTAAATGATTTTCTGGTGGGAGAGAAGAATTGGTTGTCCAAACAGTAAAAGAAGAAGAAAACCCAAAATGATAAAAATCGATTTTCTATACCCAAAACACAGAGAAGGGCAAAAAAGAATCACAAGAATAACTAAATATAACTAAAGAAAATCCGATTGAAAATTCTTTGCACATAATTTTCTTATTCATACATTCATTTTGGTCAAATAAGATTTCTCGTTTTTTTATTATATATGAATCAATGAATAAAACTGTGACACTTTTTCCAATGTAAATATATTTTCCAAATTTGAATTGCCATCGGCTTTTTTTTGATTATTATGATTTTTTTGGGGAACACAACCAAAAAAAAAAAAATCGATAGACATCATCATTCAACTAACAAACAAACAAACAAGCAAACAGCAGAAGCAGATTGTCATCACTGCAGTATAAAAATTCTTATTATTATTGTAACAACATTTTACAACACACAAAAAAAAACGGTAACATTGAAATTTTATAATGATATTTGAACATTATAATAACGATGATTCAATTCAAAGAAAACATATATAATAAGCTAGTAGTTAGTTTTCCGGGGTTATCAAATTACAAATAAAGATCATCATTTTTATTTATACATTCGTTGTGGGTGTGAAAACAACAACAAAGACACAATAAATTTTTTGTTGTTGTTATTAGGAAATTGTTTCAACTGAACATTTTTTTTCGATCCATCCATCCATTTGGTTTTTTGAAGACCAAAAAAAATCGATTTTTTCTTTAGCTGAAAATTGAAATCCGGAAATTCAGCATAAAACAAAAATTGTAAACTTTAAACAACCAAAGTTCTTAAGTAAATTTCATCATATTGTTTTTCATGGAAAATGTCATGACACAGAAAGATAGCATCATTGTAGCTATTAGATAATGATGATGATCGGTTTTTATGAATATTTACTATGAAATAAAGAAAAACTACTATGAAACAAATATGGAAATTAGAAAAGTTCAATTTTTCAACTTTTTTTGTTTTTGCTCACATTTTCAATTTTAACTATATGAGATATGATTATGTTGAAATAGATTTTTTTTCTTCTTAAGTTTTGTTTTCACATTCGATCTCATCATTCCAATGATCCAAAAAAAAAAAAAAAAAATTCTATTAACAATGTATTCAACACAACCACCCGAATATCTTCATCTTCTCTGGCTTTTGATCTTCATTTTTTATTCAAACCACATAGAAATTTCCGAATATATTCAATGAATTATGTTCGTGGAAACAGAAGAAGAAAGAATCAAACAAAAATATAAATGAAAAAAATAAATATTCAAGAAAAGAAAAGAAAAGAAAAACAAAACAAAAAGAAAAATCTTTGCCCTTCTTTTCATCATTGTTTTTGTTCCTGTTGTTGTTATTGTTGATTCTTGTCATTAACATCATCACCATCGTCGTCATCATTGTCGTCATCATTATCATCATTGAAAATGAAAATGAAAATGAAATAAAGCTTGTTTGTCACATTGTATGTTCCATTGGGTTTGTACCGTTGAATATATTTGTTATTTATTATTATTTTTTTTGTTTGTTTCAACATTGTATTCGAATGAATGAAAGAAAAATGGCCAAACAAAAAGAAAATATTATAATAAGAATTTAGATCTGTGATGCAATGATCACATTACATATCAGTGTTGTTTTTTTGGTGAAAAGAATAAAATAAAAATCTATATATGACTTTTTGACGCTATTTTTTGCTGTTTGTTTTGTATGTAAGTAATTTGTTGCTGTCAGCTGTTGTTGGTTGTTTGGTAATTTTTCTTTTTCTTTCTTTTTTTTTTGGCTATCAGTTTCTCAATAAAGTGTAGAAATATTCTTTGGGTATCCATATTATTTAGATTATCACATTGTTGTTGTTGTTGTTGAAATAAGTAAGATTTAAGATGTATTTATTTGCACAAGTTTTTTTTCATCATCATCATCATCATTTGGTCAGTTTTTTCTTTCTCTATAGACTTCAATTCTATCTGTGGATTTGTTTTTTTTTGGCATTGTTTTTCTCTCTTTATGTTTCACAACAATTTTGCAAACAAAATCGAGAGAAAAAAAAGAAACAGAATTGAAGCGATTCAAAAATCACTTAGTTTTTTTTGAATTTGTTTTCTCTCTCTCTTTCCCTGTGAATATTTTTCGTTTTATATAAACCAACCACAACATTGAACAACATTGAATACAAAGCAAAAATGCAAAAGAAACAAAATTTGAAAGTAGAGAAAATGTGGGGAAAAAAAACTCAAAAGAATCTAAATAAATAAATAGATAGATGTGATATAAACGATCTAAAAACCACCATTATCACACATAATTTATATTTAAATTTTCAGTTCATTGAATGCCCCAAAAAAAAAATATAGTAAATTTTTGGTTCAGTTCAGGGAAAATAAAGAAAAAAGAATGAAATTCTTTTCACTCTCACTCTCTCTATAATCGATATCGATGTATTATGGTAAAATTAAAGTAAGTTTTTTTCACTATCTCATTGCTATTATAAACTTTTTTTTTGTATTACGTTAAAGAAATACGTTCCATAAACGTTAATTTACATGTCTCTCTCTCTCTCTCTCTCATATATAAATGATATTATGCATTGTTTTGTCTGGGCTAGAGATTGTACAAAACACTATTTATGTCTCGAATAATGATAATCATGAATAAATTCTTTCCGAAAAAAAGAAAAGAAAAGAATAGACAAACATTATCAGACTTTTTATATAGTTTTTCGTCAATCATTTTGATCATCGTCGTCGTCGGTTATCACATTCGTAAATAATAATAATGTGAGTGCAGACAAACAAGAGAAAAACCACAACAAAAACAACAACAAAAAAGTGTCAACTAAATTATATAAAAACTTTCGTTTAATTTAATCAAAAAATAAATCATTCTTGAATGTAAATTGCAGCCAACGAAACAAAAAAAAAATTTAAAGTTCAGCATCGAAATGATATTTTTTTTACAAACTTAAAGTGACAAACAACAACTTATCGAAAATAGGAAAAATCGTTACGAAACTTTTTTCGATTTTGTTTTTGTTTTTGTTTAACATTCAACCAAAGTCAAATGTGATGACAAAAGAAGAAGAAGAAGAATCTGATCCCATATGTGTATCCCAAAAAAATAATGACGTTTGATTGAATATCTGATGTTGATGATGATGATTTATTTCTTCTTTTCAAATCATCATTATCAGATTGAATGACGTCATCATTTTTTTCATTTTGGTTTCTTTGGTTCAAAGATAACCGAAAGAAAATAGTTTTTTTTTATTGAGAAAATAACCCAAAACAGATTCATTTTATTGACTTGATTTGTTTTTGTATCGATGATGTTAACTTGTTCAATTTTCTTCTTTTTTAATTTCGTTTCTTTCATGGAACAAGCATTTTCTCCTTGATACAGAATCTTTGAAAGCTGTAGACGATAAACAACAACAGCAAAATAATCTTATTTTGTTATTGCCGACAATGACAATCTACACCAGAAAAATCTCAATTATGATGGACTGATTGTTTTTTTTGTAAGATACAATAAGTGAGTGATGAAAAAAAATTTTCATTTCATTTCACACTTATAATCTTGAAAAAATATTATTTTATTTTTTTCAAAGTTAATGGATTGTTGTAGTTTGTTAATTTGGATTCAATTAATAATTTTGTTTTTGTTTTTTTTGGTTTCATTCGAAAAAACCGATAACAAAAGCATCATTTTTGCTGTTGTCATTTTTGTTTTTTTTTGTTTGTTTTTTGTCTAAGGAAAGAGAAAAAATTTAATGTTTTTGAACCGGAAAAAAAATGAAAAATTTATCCAACATTTTAGTAAACAACAACAACAACGATTGAACATTTTTTTAGGTTATCTGTATCTATGATACACACAGAATGAAATATGAATGAATGAAATAAAATGTTTTATGAAACAAACAAACAAACAATAATAATAATGATTATGGCTAAAACAATAAAACAGAATGAATATGAACAATGATCATTGATTCTGTTGGAATAATAACAACAACAATATTATGAATGAATTTTTTGCTCTTTTGCCTTGTATTTCTCCACATACAATCAAAATACTGATGATGTTGATAATAATAGACTGCGAGATAGGGAGAAAGTGAAAGGGAAGCGAATACAATTCATTGTTGATGGAATTTAACAAAAAACAAAAATAGAAAATTCTTTATCGATTTACAAACACACACATACAAACATTCAATTTTGTTTTCTTTATACCAAATCGATTTGAATGTTTGAATCTTGAATCATAATCATTTCATTCATTTTTGTTGATACCGATCGTCTTTGTTGTTGTTGTAATGATTTATTGTCCATTTTCATTTGAATTTGTAAAGAATGATCATCATCATCATCATGATGATAATAATTTTTCCATTGATTATAGTTAATATATTCTTTATTCTTTAATGCATCCTTGTTCAATTGAATTTCATCATCATAATCGACGTCATCATTTTGATTGTCACCATCATCATCACCGTCATCATCATCATTATAATCAATAATCGTACATAACTTTTTAATCTCATTGAATGAATAAAGAAATTCGTTTGTCATTTGTCCTTCAAGTACATCTAAATATTTCATTTCCCATTCATTAAATAATTGTCTAAAAATTTCGATTGAAATTCCTTGTTTAAATTGTTCAATAAGTAATAATAGTTCATATTTAGATGAAATTATTTTCTGATTTTCATTATTTTCGGTTATTTCAAATTGATTAGTAAATTTTTGTTGTTGTTGTTGTCGCTGTTCAGATGTATTTGAAATTCTATCATTAATTGAAAATCTGTTTTCGATATGATGATCATTTGAATTGAAATTTATCGTTTTTTCAATCATAATTGGATTTGATTTGATCATAATATCACCATCATCAACAACAACAACAATACTATTATCATTAGATGTAATCGATTCGATAGGGTTAGTCATCATCAATTTATTATTATAGTCACTATAATGATAATTGAATCCATTATTCAACTTGAAATCATTTGATTGTTGGTCATATTGTTGTCGTTGTTTCGAAATATTTTCATTATTATTTTCTTTTTCGATTATCCGCATAGAATTTTGCAATGATGATGATGAGGATGATGGTTCATTTCTTTTTGCATCGACAAATTGTTTTTTGTCCATTTTCGATACTGTTTCATTATTATTATTATTAAATGATTGGCGATTTTTGGTCGATTTAATTGGATCATCATCATCATCATCATCATCCATACAATAATGAGAATTATAGTTTTTTGTTGTTAAAATAACTTGATTAAATTGTTCATTGCCATCAGATATTGTCATTGTTTTTGGTTGAAATTGATTATTATCATCCATAACAACAACAATAGTATTATTTTTTATCAATTTATTATCATTGTCATTGACTTTGTACATTATCGATTCTGACAATAATCTATTATTTTGTTCAATATTATTCATTCGAAATTCATTCAATATATTGACAATATTTGTATGTTTATTTTGATATGCTAAATCCATCGGTGTCAAACCTGAACAATTTCGAATAAATAATACTTTATTCAGTTGTTGTTTTGTCAATTTTTCCATCAATTTCATCAATAGTTTTTCTAATCCATATGCTGCACATAGATGAAACCATGTTGGCCATTGTCGATTATTATTATTATTATTCTGTAAAACATTGTTTGAAATAGCAACATCGAATAACGAAGATAGATCATGATCAACCTGATCAATTGTATCAACACCAAATGTTTGACAAATCAATTCGTCGTTTGGTTTTATTAATGATTTGATTTTTGTTGTTTCTATTTTCTTGTTATCAATTTCGGCCAATGTAGATGACAACATTCCATTTTCATATTGAATTGTTCTACTGCCTAGAATATGTTGTCCATTCAAAATGATTGCCATGTTCAATGAAAAAGATGCATTTCGTGTTTGATTAACGAAAAATTTATCTGTGAAAATGAAAATGTTTTTACATTGATACAATCATGATTAATGGAAAGGAAACAAAAAAAATGAACAACATTACCTGGAATCTTTACAATCAAAATATTACTATCTATCCATTGCATCCAAAGCCAATTGATTGTACTTTGTCCATTGATAAGAACATCTATATGATTATGATTCATTAATAATAGTTTTCCATAATAATGTTTATCGGAAATTTTTTCATCAAAAATAATGAGAATTTTTTCGTTCATCTAATATATCCAAGAAACCAGAAAAAAATATAATAACACGAAAAAAAAACGAAAAAGATAAATGGAAATTGAAAATTAAAAATCCAAGTTTAAATGTAAATATTCAAGAAAAGAAGCAGAAAAAAATAATTGAATAAGAAAACCAGGATAGAAAAAAAAAATAAATCTTTTTGAACAAATAAAAATTAAGATGAAAAAACATTCATTTTGAATCGAATCAAATTCTAATTTTAAATTCATGTTTTCATTCTCATTATTGTATAACCAAGAATTGGATCGAAGAATATATGGAAATTTTTTTCTTCTTGCTTTTTCCTAATTAAATTCATTCATTGTTCAGTCTGTTAATCGTAAAAAGTTTTGCATTTGGAATTTATTTTTTTTTTTTTCAGGAAAACCGTTTATTTATCTATTTTAAACTAGTAGCATCATTTATCGATGATGTTTATATAGAAAAAAAAAATTTGAAATTTTGTTGAATAAAATATTTTATATTTTAAAGATTTTTCAATATTACCTCATTAATCTTTTCCGGAAAAATTTTGAACAATGGATATCGATAGTTCAATAATGATGATTCAAAATAATGTAAATCGATATGTTGACCATCATGATTATTATCATTTGGTTGACATTTTTCACCATACATTTGTTGTTGCCATTGTATGAATAAATTTTCATTCGATAAACGAATAGCATTGTCATAAACAATATTGATGAATAAATTTTCTTTTTCAACTCGATAACTGTTGTTGTCATTGTTGTTGTTTGTGATGATATTTTTGAAGTCATTTTTATTCATGATCATCATATCATCATCATTGTTATTCATGTTGAAATTGTTGTTGTTGTTGTTATTATTAGCAACAGGAATAAATGAACAACCAAAAAAACAAGATAATTTATATTTGATTCGAAACATATTAATCTCATTGTATTCATCATATAATGCATATGTAATGATTTTTGTCATTGATGGCCATTTTTCATCATTGTTTTGTTGTTTTTGTTGTTGATGTTTTTGTTTTTGTTCATTCTGTTTTTCCTCACCACTGAATTCTTTAATTATATTTTCACTGATCATATTCTGATCATTGTTAATATATTTGCCATTATTATTATTTCCATTTTCACTATTCATATATTTAGTTTGTTTAGATTTTTTTCTGACTTTTGTTTTGTTATTTTTGGTTCGTTTGTTTTGTGAATTATCATTATCATCATGATCGTTATTATTTTTATCGGATCGAATGTTGGTCATTATTTTGTCTGTTTGAAATTGTGTAGATTTTATTTTAGGATAATCTTTGCTGCCATTTCTCATTTCTATTCGATTATTTGATAAAAAAAAGGGGAAAAAATAGTAATGAGAAAGCCGGAATTTTATATTGATTAGAGCTATCATTATTGTTACTTACCGTTTTTATTATTATTATTTTGATGATAATGTAAAAAATTCAAACATTGTTCCAAATCAAACATGTCATCATTAATAAATTGTACTATTCTTGTACTTATTATTAAACAGAAAATAATATTATTTGAAAATTGTTGACATTGACAACGACGATGATTATGGTGATTTGATTCGATTTTTCGTTGTTGATATTGATCGATATTCACATTATTTGCATGGTAACAATTTATTCGACATTGATGATGGATGTCATTATAAAATTCATTATATAATTTTGATAATGTTGTTAATATATTCGATGTTATAGTTGTTGATTTTTTTTGATCATAACGAATACTACTACCATTAATATTATTATTATTATCATTGATTATTGTATGGTTACAATCATGATGATCATCTATATTGATCAATTTTGTTACAAATATCAAAGATTTTTTATTGACGTCATTACTGATGATATTCAATTTTTGGCCACAATAATCAATTTTTTCATCATTTTGTTTGTCATTGTTGTTAAAATTATATGAATGTTGTTGATATTCACCATAGTGATCATCATCATCATCATATTTATTATCGTTATTTTTAAATTGTTCTGGTATAAACCAATTTGGATGATCATTAGCATAAAATATAATGATCATTTTTTTCGATACAAATTCCTGGTTACAAATATTGATACTAGTTGAACTATCAATCGTATTCTGTTGTCGATTTTGTCCTTTAACTTTGGACAATTGTTGATGAGAATCTTTTGAAACATTCGTGGATCTAATACAAAAATGTTTATTCCAATGTTTTATTTTGTTCAATAATGTAACGAAAAAATCAAATAATTTAAAATTTTCTTGTTTCATGTTTTTTTACAGTTTTCTTCAAAATCTTATTTCAATATTGTCTTGTCGATTCGATCATCGGAAATCAAATGAACGATTCAAAAATGAAAATCATGAATGAAAAAATAAAAATTTCAAAAAAAAAAATGAAATCTTATTATGTTTCAAGATCAAAGGTCAAACATTACTACAACTCTACATATGATTTGCCGGAAGAAACTATGATTATAATAAAAAACAAAATTAAATATTGAACTTTGACATCTAAACACAGACAATATACAGTGTTTTTTTTAAGAAAAAAAACTACTGAATGAATGTAGTTGAAAAAAATAACGATTTCCATATGGTCACTCATATGACCGTCATTGTCACCCATATAAATATAAGGGCCATACTACTATACCAAAAACATGTGGCATTGAATGAATGTCATCAAGATTGTTGTTTAGGTACCGTTGATTATGCATCTATACATGTGTGTTTGTGTGTGACAATTACAATGACCCTAGGATCCTCAAATCGAATCAAATTTCTTTATATTAAGTTGTCTATATGGCCATTGTTGATTTAACTTCAATGATTTCTTAGAAAAGAAAACCATCCTCATCATTATCATCATCATCATGATCGTCAAGATTCAATGAAAGAAAATTTATCTTAAATTTCTATTTGTTTTTTTTTGCAATTTCTTCTACAAAAAAATACCATTGTAGACTTCATTAAAGACTTGAATTCTTTAACTAAATTTTAGTTTTTTTTAATATGGATCTATTAGAATGTCTGGATCACATGAAACTTAAATATGAAAAAGAAAAATTCTGGCAAAATAATGATAAGAAAAGCGAAAAAAAATTCCACAACCAAAATATAAAACAAAAGAATTTTTATTCATTTATTAAATTTTTTGCGTTCGAGAACATTCTAGCTTCTAAAAATAACAACAACAAAGATTTTGAAGAAAAAAAAATTAATTTTATTCAATTTAATAATGAAAATATATTGAAAATAATAATGATTATGATTGTAGTCATCATTTTAATTTTAATAATTGAACAAAAAATAATACATCTGTTGCATATAAGGCATAACCAAATCTTATCTAATCTAAATGTTCTTATTTTTTTTTTCTACCCATTTAATCCCCACACACACAGAATGCATTCATACGAATTTTTTTTTCTTGTTCTTGCAATGATTATTTGTGTATTGGCGATATATAAAAAGATTTTACTATAGGGGAAAAAACGTGATCCACACATACACATACACGCCGAGAATCACCAATGAAGAATCAAAGTTCAATAATGTTGTACAAATTTTATGGCTCAAATTTTATTTCCAGTCAATTCGTTTTTTTTGGATTTAATTTTTTCTTTCTTATTGACAATCAAATAAGCAAAAAGAAAAAAAAATATTCACATTTGAATTTTCCATTTCATGTTTCTTCTCGGGTAACCAAGTAATTTGAAATTGGATTTTTTTTTTCTCTCTCTCTCTCTCTCTCTCTCTCTCTCTCTCTCACTCAAATATTTGTTCGTTTAAAATTTAAATTCGTCGGAAAATTCATCATCATCACTAGTGAATTTCGTTAAGCAATAAAAAAAACGGATATCAAAGAATTTTTAAAANTTTTTTTTTTTTTTCTCTCTCTCTCTCTCTCTCTCTCTCTCTCTCTCTCTCTCTCTCTCACTCAAATATTTGTTCGTTTAAAATTTAAATTCGTCGGAAAATTCATCATCATCACTAGTGAATTTCGTTAAGCAATAAAAAAAACGGATATCAAAGAATTTTTAAAAGAAAATCTTAAAAAGAAAAGCAAACATTATTTTCGTTGTTCAAGCTAGACATTCTTTTCTTCCCCTTCCCCATACTTTTAAAGAAACAAATCCCGATATTATTGTTGACAGTTTTTTTTTGTTTTGTTTTGTTTTTTGGCACAACAAACCCTTCAGGTAAGATAATTTTCATTTTTGTTTTTGTTTATCATTGTTATTATATGGACATTGGACAAACAACAGCAACAACAACAACAATGACTATAGTGGTTATTTGAAAAGGGGAAAAAATAAAAGCATCCAATAATGTGTTAGAGGATTTTGAATCCATTTTTGCACCCGAAGCTAATGTCACCATTTGAACCCCGAAACGAAAAAATTCCAAATAATAATAATAAATTACGTAGTGTAACGAAACGTAGAAAGATAAAATCAAAGATGCACTGATGATGATGATGATGATTGAGACAGGAAAGACATAATATATTCAGAAAAAGAAAAACAACAAAACAAAAAAATCCTGGATAAAATGACTTAAAAACAAATAAAAAAAAATCAGGAAAATTCACATTACAAGATTCGATTGCAGACGAATGATGAACAAACATCATAAACAAAACAAAAAATCGAATGTTGGATATCGGACCATGTAATAAAAATTGGCTGATACAAATCAAAACCAAACAAAAACACTGAATTGAATCAAAGAATATCATTTTTGAAAAAAAAATTCTTTGAAAATTTAATGTAAGTTTTTTTTGTATGAGAACAAAAATCATTTATATTATTTTTCCTTGTCGAACAGAAAATAAAAAGAATTTCATATTGAAGTGATGTGTTTGTCTATGTGTGTGTGTTTATGTGAATTTCCATGGAAATTTCGTTTTCCTTGCAAGGAAAACGAAATTTTCATTTATTCAACTTTGAACGAAATAAAATTATTGTTATTATTTGTATACAATATTGACAAAAGGAAATGATTTTTTGGGAAATAAGAGAAAAATATTTATTATTATTATTATTATTATTTACAAAAAACAAAATTGACAAACAAACAATATTCTGACATAAATAATATCCTTGAGAAAAGAAATTAAAAATTCAACAAATGAATTATTCAATAATGGAATAATTATTTTCTTTTAAAAGAACTTTCTTGATGAAAAAAATCGTATCCACACACACACACATTGTAGACATCGACAATACATATGTTACTAATGACATTTTAAATGATGGAATACTACTATCTGGAATGGATGGTTTTTGAAGAATCAGATGTATCAAACAAACAAACAACAAAAAAAAAGTATTGTCATTTACTGCCAAATTTGTCATACGTAATGGTCATGATGATGATTATTTAATTCAAATGAATTCAATAATTTTCTGAAATAATCGATTACGATTTTGAAATGATTCATGATATACTTTTTCATATAATATTAATTGATTACGTAATATTTCTTGTGGATTTTTTTCTCCATTACAAATTTGTTGTAATTCAATTTCTAATTGTGCACGTAAAAATGGTTGTGTCATTTGTTCTTCAATTTCCATATATGCTTCATAAAGTCCAATACCTAAACCTTCTGGTTTTAATCGTCGATCATCCATTTGGCTAATATATTTACGATCTTTAATTTTTTCAATATGTTCAGCATGAGTTGCATCCGTACCGATACCGAATTTTTCCATCAATGCAATCAAATCAGATTCGGTTAATAGCTCCGGGGCTGTAGTACGGCCATCTTTCATTAGGATAGAATTTGGATGAAAACATTCATCTTGTACAAATTGTGGTAACTGTTTTTCACCCCAAAAATCATATTTATATACTTCTAGATAATTTTTTTCAATTATACGCAATCCTTTTGCATGAAATGTTTCATCATTGATTTCAATATCGACCGTTTCTTCTGCACCAATAGCATCAGCCCAACAACAGGCCAAAAAATGTCTAGTTATTAATTCATATACTTTACGTTGTTCACCATCGGTCAGATTGGTTGCCGGCTTTGTCGGATGAATGGGTGGGTGAGCTTGATCCGATTTGTTTCCTTTCGAACGTCGAACGAACCAACCGTAAAGCAATGATATGATAAAAGACAGAAAAAAGGCATAGACATCATTAGTGGATTGATCGAAAATATCATTTTTTTTAGAAAAAAAACTTCATTGCCAAAAACAGTAGAAAAAAAATGAATAGTATGGATAATAATAGAACAATATAACAATGAACAAAATTACCATTTCTAGGATTGGCACCGCCTCGTTCCAAAATACGATTTGCATATTGTCCCCATTGTTGATTATCACATTGTGCCTGAATTAGATCATTCAATTTGATTTCAGGTGGAAATTTATTCGTTTCTGTACGTGGATAACTAATAAAACCTAAATTATAAAGACGTTCGGCAGCAATCATTGCACGTTTAGCATTTATTTTTAGTTTAGATGATGCCAAACGTTCGAATGTAACTGTATCCATTGGATGTGGGCGATATTTAGATGTACGACGATTATTTACTTTTAACACTTTTGCCAAAGGATTTTCCATTATTTTTGCCATTATGGCTACACATGCTCGCTGATCAAATAAACGTCGTTTGTTCCAGGTAAATGTACAATTCATATTATCACGTTTTACATTCACTTCAATAAACCAGAATGGTTGTGGCTGAAATTCTTCACGTTCCTTCCAACGTTCAACAACAAAACCTAGTGTAGGAAACTGACAACTACCATAACTGATTATACATTTTTCAAGATGAGGTACACTTCGTTGTAATCCTAGGGTTAAAAACCGTGTAAATGCAGCACCGATACGTAAATCTAATTGTTGTCGAATATCTACAGCATCTGGGAAAAAAATATTCATAAAAATAGAATGATTATTAATAAATATGGTTAGATTAAACAAATACCTGAAATTTTCTTATCCGGATCGGTCAGTGAATTTATGGCTCTATATATAGCAGCACCAGTAATTTCGGAAAAATGTGCTCTCAATACACGAATACCAGGATTTATTTCTTGACAAATTTTTATGATTTCAAAACCAATATTTTCTCCTTCACGATCACAATCGGTCCATATGATTAACAATTGACAGCCACAAACTTCACGTTCAATAGTACGCTTGATTAATTTACATTGTTCTGAACATGTGGTAGTGATTGGTGCCGAAAATAGTACTCGTGGATCACATCCATTCCATTTACCATAATCACCTAAAAAATCATAGTTAAGTAAATGGCCTGAAACTGATGTCATTATCATCTGACATTGTTGATTTCTCAATACAGGTAACTGTATTTGAAATTCATAAATTTTATTGAATTTTGAATAGCCTTCACGACGACGTAAAGAACCACGGCTCAGAATATTTGCAACATTTTTCGCCACATCATTTTTTTCGGCAACATTCAACACTTTCACCATTTCGGTGATCTTTTTGGCAGTAGCGAAATTTCGACAACAATTGAATATTTTCTTAGATAGAACCGAAACATCAAAATTTTTAATTACTGTATGATTAAACAATGAAAACATTACGAAATTATCGATAAATAAATAATTGGCGCCAAATCGAAATCAAACGGCCTCAGATTGTGGCCAGTCTGATGAAATTTTCATATGCGTGCGTCGACTATAACAACAACAATCAACAACGATGATCGATTTCAGCTATTTACACATCATTGGCAATTTTTTTTTATGAAACGCAAAATTGCAAAATTAAAAAAAAATATTTTTAAAAAGAAATTTTATTGCAAAAAAAAATCATTGACATGAAAAATTACCCAGTTTAGCATAAGGATAGAAAGATTCGATTCAAAATCAATTAATCAAAAACGATTTGAAGCATTCATAAATTTCCTCGTCGTTCCTGTTCCAATTCGATCGATTCGAATAAAGTTTTAAAATTTCCAGCACCAAATCCTTGATGATTACGTCGTTGAATAACTTCCAAAAATAGGGTCGGACGATCTTGCATTGGTTTAGTGAAAATCTGTAACAAATATCCATTGTCATCATAATCGATAAGGATGCTTAATTTTTCCAACAAATCCATATCTTCGGCCACTTTAGTCGGACTGTTTTTAAGTTTCTCACGAATCATTTCATAATAGATTTTCGGTGCTTTCAAAAATTCCATACCTCGTGCACGAAGTTTACTGATAGCTAAAATAAAATGAAATTATTCATTCATTTTGAATGATTTTTTTTAAAAGTAATTCTTACCGGAAATAATATCCTCTGTACGCAAAGCAATATGTTGCACACCAGCTCCGCCATAATAGTCAACATATTCTTGTATTTGACTTTTTCGTTTAGCTGGTGCTGGTTCATTGATTGGCATTTTGATTGTTTCCTCATAATTGGCCATTACGATCGATCTTAATGCAGAATATTCTGTATGCATTTGTGTATCATCCACCGACCAGAATCGATGAAATTGCAATACTTTTTCATACCATTGAGCAACTTTTTCCATTTGATTTTCCGGTTGATTACCAACAACATGATCGATATGAAGCAGACCAATATTTGGTAATGTAGCTAAAAAATCAACGATTTCTAATTCAGATTTTTTATAACCGGGTAAAAATGCTCCACGATATTCACGACGATCGACCAATTTATGTACTGTATCACCATATGTTTGTACAGCAGCCGTTTTAACCGAACCAAATTCATCGGAATCGATACGAATTTCTTGAACAATTTTACCACCACGTTTTCGGGCCATTTCAACAATATATTCAATATCTTCTACATCGAATGCTACCACTTTTACACCATCACCATGACGAATTAAATGTTCACTCATTTCAGTATGTTGTGGATTTAATTGTGATTGAAATTCAAATATAATTTTATTCTGTTTAACAACATGGCTAACAATATCACGGCTACCAGTTTCCAAACCTTTATATGCTAATGGTTCAAAACCCATATGTACACAATAATATGTAGCCGCTTGTTTAGCATTACCAACAATAAAGGTAACATGATCAAATTGAATGAAACGACCACGTTCTGGTTTTGGTCCTTTATCCGTATAGGATGTCATTGTTGAATTGTTTAAATCGAAAAAATAACTTTTGATAAAATAATTGCTGAAAAAATTTCTCTCGAATCATTCGACTGGCTACGTTTTGATTTCCATTTTTATACCTGTCGTATGATGATAATATGACCTTCGAGAAAATTAGGAATTCGAACAGCGAATTTATCGATTTTTGAAATCTTTTAATTTTTTATCCATACATTTTTTATCTTTCCAAGAACGAATAAATAGAAGCAAAAAAAAAAAAAAAAAAAAAAAACAAACGCAATGGAAAAAAAAAATCTGAAAAAAAAAAAA